CTTCTTGATTCTCGTCCGAGAGGAGACACCCACACACACTCACAAAATTCATTCCAACTCTTTCCAAATTCTCTTAAGAACACTTGCACTCATTCTTCAAAATTTCGAGATTTAGAGCTTTTGAAGGAGTTTCTTCCACAAAAATCATCATTCAAGGTAAGTTGGTGCCTAAATATATGATCTAACTCACTTCTTTTCATCAAAAATCACCTCTTAATCCATTCAAATTCATGATCTTGCATCTTAGAACCCACTAAGTTCGAGATCTATCCAAGGAACTTGCTAGGGCCGAAAATAGCACCAAACTTCTCCAAATCTTCTTCAAAACCAAAACCACAACTCAAGGTGAGCTTCATACCCCTTTCTTTTTGGTTTTTATGAGTTTTATGGGGGAGAATACAGGAAAATGTGTAGATCTATGTGTATGTGTATGCTATGTGTGGTTTGATGCATGTATGTGTGATTTCATGAGTTTTGTGATGAATATGTCACCAAAAAGGGGTGTAAACCCGAGATCTATGACATGAGAAAGGAATCAAACATAATCTAAGCTATTTTACACTAAACAAGTCAATAATAATAGCTTATAAGGTCATGATGAACATATTCTAACATAAAACCCATTTTTGGGCTTAAATTGTCAAAAATACAAAACTTGGGATACAAATCGACAAGTCATGGTTTCTTGAAGGTCAAAAGGGTCAAAACAGTTTCTATAATCATTTTTCTGAACATTAGAATTTTCAAGGGACTTAAAATGTAAAATTTTAGCTTAATGGGCTAATTTTGGGCTTTTCGGCCCAATGAACCTCAAAATGCGAAAAAATGATAAATTTTAGGGGCTGAAATGAAACTTTCTATAAAACATGGGTAATTAGCATGACAAAATCATTTTATGGGTCAAAAATGCTTTTCACTATAAAAAAGGACCAAAAATGTAAAGTTTTTAGATTTTGGGCCAAAACTGTAAAAGTTGTGAAAAATGGGGCTCTAACCGAGAAACACTATTCTGGAAGGGTTGAAGCTGTCAACAAAATAAATTTTGGGTTAAAATTGTGTTTTCATCAAATAAATAATACAAAAGTGTCAAGAAAAGGGTTTTAAGGACTAAAAATGAAATTCTTTTATATAAAAGGACCAAAAGTGTTATTTTTATAAAAGAAGGGTAGTGAAAAGGTCAAGTTCCACTTTTAAACAAATTAATTCATTGATACAAAATACAAGATCCACGACTACTAACGAAACGGAAAACAAATACACTCTCAACAACAAATATCGTTACCAACGAAGTGATTCGGTCTCGAATCAATACAAAACAACAAGCATTAAACCAAACCATCTAAATAATACATGATAACTACGATGAGAAAACTGACAAAATTTGGGCTTGGAAGTTTCAAATCATGCTTGTTGGGCCTTTCTAGCCCATTAACATGATCTTTGGGCCCAAAGGGAATATGCTTATGTGCTATTGGGCCTCCTATGACCCGATTTCATGTAAAAGGACTTTCAATGGCTCTAATGTGCTATTGGGCCCTAGTGGCCCATTAGTATTGCTAGTGAGGTCAAGAAATCAAATGCGAGTTGGGCCAACGTGCCTTTCGCATTTCCGACAGCCTAAATAACTCACGGAATATAACGGGACTTCGTACTCCCTTTTTCCTCGTTTGTCAGGCTTACAGTAATCAAGGTAAACAGATTCAGGATGTTAATCAAAAGTAATCATGGTTGTTGGATTAAGTGATTAGTAACGGGTGATGCCTTTAAGGATCGTTGAAAATCTGTAGTTATAAACTAGTCATTTTCAGATGCATGATTATAACGACTCACAAACCCTAATTAATCCAAAGTCACCGAGTAATCAAAAATCATTCGTCGTAACGGTATAACAAATTGAGAATTCACTATGTTTTATGTAATGGGAAAACATCGGGTTTTCCTGGGAAGTTCAACATTTTCACTTGCGCGATCATCACAGAAGTTCATCAATTATACATGTTTTGAAAATCAACAAGCATATATTTACAAATCTTCACACTTTTTTTTTTATTTAAAATATTGTTCTTTTCAGAAAATATTGGATTTTCTGGGTTCTACAAACTAGACCAAATCATACAACATTGCTTATGAACTCACCAACATTTCATATGTTGACGTTTTTCAAAATTAACTTGTATTCTCAGGTAACAGGTAAACCGAAGAATAAGTACCAAGTTATGCCTGGATGTTTTGCTTATGATATCTATCAGACAGTTTATGTTATGAAATTGTAATGTTTGAAACAATGTAGTGGGTGTAAACAATATCAGTTGTATTATTTCAATGCATGGCAATGATTTATGTTATGATTCATGTATATTCATTGTGATGGTATTTAATTTAAGTCATAGGAGCCATCCGACGTTTCCGCCGTCTAGTTCGGGGGTGTGACATATGATCACACCTTCATTGTTTCACTATATTTCATCAAACCAAGCTATAAAACCTGAACGAGCATCTTGATTCCAATTGTTTGCCTGAATTAGTACATGTTAAGAAAACTAGGGTTAACATCAGAATATGAATAAATGGTAAACTACCTTTTTGGGACATGCATAAAAGGGCCTTCCTAGGTTATTGGTAGTACATGATGTTCGTATTATAGCCTTAGCTCCACATCCACATTCCATGTTCTTCATTATGTAGCTTCATAGTGGAGAGCATTTGAAGAAGAAAACAATGTGCTAGAATGGAATAAGTAGGTATAGAAGAAACTTTTAACTAATTGCTAGTACGTGTAAAAGACTAAATTACCCCCACCGTGCAAGGCACGTGGGTTCACTAACATCCCCACTTTTTCTTTATTCCTATTTCTATTACACTTTCAATGTAATTTTTTTCTGGATAACAATTAGTACATAGGACCATAAGTAATGAACCAAGAACATCACCCAAGCTTACAAAATGCCTGTCATTTAGACAGGACTTTTACATATATCGCCAAAAAAACAACTATAAAAATAAAAAACAAAAAATCTACATACTAATATGCTTCGTAACCAACATTCCTTCAAATCCACCCATCACCCAAGCTTAACAACGAAATGGAGCACAACCACCAACAACAAGAGCATCCCCACCATCATGTGTAACATCCATAAAATCATGATAAATTTAAACTTTTTAAAACCAACCAATTTCATAGATTGTTTAAAATCTTAGTTTCAAAACATTTTCAACATCAAAGTCTCCTAAAATCATAAGTCAGAAACATGAGGATGTGTACGATCATGCCTTCTCCTTCCCGGGATCATCTGAAGTACTTGAAACATAGCCCAAAACTATATGCCAACATTTAGTGAGATCCCCCAAAGTAGAAACACATAACATAATCATAAATACAAACAACATGCATACAGATCCTTTAGCCTGACTAGAACACCCCACCGGCCTACAGTCTACGTGGTACACTCACAGAACCTTCAGCATGACTGGTACGCCTCACCGGGATCTTCAACCTATCTGGAACGTTCTTTGGGCCTTCGGCCTGACTGGTACGCCTCTTGCGCCTGTAGTCTATCTAGGACGCCCTGGGTCTCTTCGCCTTTAGTCTACACCGGTCTGCATCAACCCAACCATACATATACCATGTCGACATATACATAACAGATAAGCATACATATATCCAGTTAATAGACAATCAGACAGATCTTACGGATCACTAAGCATAACATCATCCTAAATACCAGGATACAAATCTAACAGTTCACTACAACATACCAGCATGCAATAAACCAGGGTAACATTCCAATGGACAGGCCTTGGTGCCTTCGACCCAAAATTACAATGAGGAAAACTCACCTCACAAATTGAACAAAATCTGATGAGGTTCTGAATCTGAATCTCAGCTCTCTACTCGAAACCTATTTCCACAAGTGACCAATTTCCATCAAAATACCAAAATCCCAAAATACCAAAAATACCCTCAAGGTCAAACTTGGTCAAGTTCAACTGGTCAAACCATCTAGGTCAATTGAGTT